GGCCCCTGCTACTGCCCATTCATGTGCTCCTTGGGCTACAGGCAGGTCCCTTGAGTGGTAGTTCTATTTGTAATCCAAGCATATTTAAGGTTAAAATTAATACCAAAAGCAAACGAAAGAATATTGTTTAGATGCATTCAAATTCACACTTCTTACATGTCATATTTCCTAGGTTAACTACTAGATGCACAGAAGGGGAAAAGTGGAGTAAAAAAAATGTGTAGTAAATTTTAAAAAAGGAAAGGAAGAAAAAGAAAAATAGAATAAGCAAGACAAATAGCTCAGAACAAGGTGGCAGATTTAAATGCAAACATATCGGTAATTGTGTGTTAAATGCTCCAGTTAAATGAAAATGTTGATATGACTGGATAAGAAAACGAAACCTAATTCTGTGTTGCTTAATATAATTATCTCAGTGAAAAAACATTTGATAAAATTTACCATCTTTTTGTGATTAGAAAAGCAGGAAACTAGGAATTGAGGGAATTTTATTAGTTTGATTAAGGATATCTAGCAAAAAAAACAGCGAATATCACATTTAATGGCAAAACATTGAAAGCTTTCTTATTGACATCAAGAAAAAGACAGGAATGCCCATTATGACCAACTCTATTCAGTTTTGTGCAGGATAGCCTTGTCAAGGAACTAAGGCAAGAATTATAAATAAAAGATGTAAGGTTTGGAAAGAAGGGAAGAAAAACTGGCGTGTAGATAATACGGGTTGCGTATTTTTGCACTGAGATTTCTATGTGTAGAAAATAAAGATCCTACAGTTAAATCATGAGTATTAATAAGTTTAGGCGAATGCTGAATCCAAAATCAAGATACAAAACCAGTTGTATTTCTATGTATCACTAGCAAATAGAAAATAAAACATAGGCATGGAGGTTCACACCTGTAATCCCAGCACTTGGGGAGGCTGAGGCCAGAGGATTGTTTGAGCCTAGGAGTTTGAGACCAGCTTGCACAACATAGCTCTGGCTCTACAAAAAGTTAAAACAAATTAGCCGGGTGTGGTGGTGCATGCTTGTGGTCCCAGCTACTTGGGAGGCTGAGGTGGTGGGAGGCTCACTTGAGCACAGGAGGCTGCAGTGAGCTAGGATTGCACTACTGCACTGCAACCTGGGTGACAGAGGGAGACCCTGTCTTGGTTTTGTTTTTTTTTTTTAATTTAAAAATATGTTTACAATAATGTAAAAAATAAGATATCTAGGAAGAAATTAACAAAAAATATGCAAAACTCTGATAGGGAAGAATATACTTCATTGAGAGATATCAAAGAACATGAAGTAACTGGTGAGATATATTATGTTCGTGGATTAGTAGAGTCAGTATTTAAGCCTTTCAGTTTTCCCCGAATTGATCTATAGAGACGATACTAATCTAAATCTCAACACGATTATTTTTGTGTAACTTCACAAACAGATTCTAAAATTTATATGACCCTCCAAGGGCCAAAAATTGCCCAGACATTCTTGAAGAGAAACCCATCAGAAATCCTCTTTGTTACAGCTACAGAAATTAAGGCTGTGTAATATCGGCACAAGGATAAACAGATGGGCCAGAGAAACAGATGGAGAGAACCAAGTAACAGATGTATGTTTGATTTAAGACAGAGGTGGCTCTGCAGACCAGTGAGCAGAGATGGTCTTTTTAAATAACGGTGCTGAGACAATGAGCTACCTGGGCACACCATGTACAAAAATAAACTCCAGGTATCCACATCAGACCTACATGTGAAAGGAAAGCTATAAAGCTTTGAGAAAATAATACAGAGCTATACAATAATAATACAAAGCCATAAAGCTTTGAGAAAATAATATGATTGTTTTTGTGATCTCAGTGTAGGGAGGTGTTTCTTAAAATTAGTGTACTAATCCTAAAGGAAAAGACTAATACATATGGCCATATTTCAATTAAGAAAGATAAATGATGAAGTAGAAAATACCCATTACACCTCTAACTAATCAAGGACATACATTATGTGTATATAATAAATTCCCACACATCAGTTAGGAAAATGGCAGGCAACGTAATGGAAAAATGGGCAGTACTTTACTGAGTACTTAAAAATAAACATCGAAGTAGTCAATAAACATTTTCCATTAACATTGCTCTTGCTGTAAAAATTGGTACCACTGCTTTGGAAAACAATTTGGCATTACCTACTAAAGTTGAAGACACATCTGGTGGCCCAGCAGTTTTATCCCCAGGAATATATTACAGAGAAACGAGTTCACATGTGTCCCCAGGAGACATGTACAAGAGGGTTACCTCCTCTCGGTCTAACTTGATCCTCTGTATAGTTGGACTCACAGTGCTTACCTTACAGGGAGAATTCAAATTAAATAATTGAATTAAATAGAATGTTTGTAAAGTGCATAATTTAGTGCCTTGTGTATAGTACATGCTTAACAGTAATTGCTTGCTAGTAATAGTAATATAATTGTTGGTTAGTCTCATCAACTGACATCTCAGAGAAGGGCCATTTTAGGATTGGTCTTTTCTGAAGGAAACCAGAACTCTCTTAAGTGGTTGAAGAGTTTGAGAAGATCAAGGGAGTATCCCCTTTCCATCCTTATTGTCCCATGACTTCCTAAGGGCCAGGGTTGAAGGGCAGGGGCTGGGCTGTGTTGTTTTGGGGCCTGCACACCTCTGGGTAATGCATATGGGCAGCTACTTCACTCCTGTCACTTACACTAATTTGGCAAATCACCAAATTGTCCTTTTGGACTTTTACATGATTTTGTGTCAAAAATCTCATTCTGTAAAATAAAACATTGGAATGACATTTCAGTGGTTTCGTGGGGGCATTCAGGCAAACTATAGATGATATACTATAGAAAACAATGTTTAAAAATCTTAAATATTCTCACTTAAGATGAGAAGATCGAAATGAGTTGAAAATAAAACAGAACTGCAGGAAATGAAATCAGTAACCATTTTGTTTTCTGTACTGTAAAACTTAAAGGAATGGGCTACTGAGTGGGACCAATGGGCCAGTTGTCTATTTCCTAGTAAATTGCCCCAAAACTTAGCGCCTTAAAACAAACATTTATTATCTTTGAGTTTCTGTGGGTCAGGAATTGGGCTTGCCTTAGCTCTGGGTGCCTCTGCCTCAAAGTGTCTCATGAGGGGCTGCAGTCAGGGTACTGTGGGCTAATTCTAGCCAATGGGCTAGTTTTCTATTTCCTAGCAAATTGCCCCAAAACTTCATGCCTTAAAACAAACATTTATTATCTTTGAGTTTCTGTGGGTCAGGAATTGGGCCTGCCTTAGCTCTGGGTGCCTCTGCCTCAAGGCCTGTCATGAGGGGCTGTAGGTACAGAGCTGTGGTCTCATCTGAAGGCTCAGCTAGGGCAGGCTCCTCATTTACACTCACATATGTAGCTGTTGGCAGGATTCAGGTCTTCACTGGCTGTTGGCCTGAGAGCATGAGTCCCTCACTGGCTGTAGGTCAGAAGCTACTCTCAGTTTCTTGCCCCAACAGTCACTCCCAGGGCAGATGACCACATGGGCAGCTGGCTGCCATCCCAGTGAGCAAGCTAGAGAGAGCAAGGCAGGGTGTGCACAGCCTTTGTCACCTAACCTCTGAGGTGACTTAGTATCACTTGCCACATTCTTTTGGTCAGAAGCAAGTCACTAGCCCACAGGGGAGGGGATTTCACAAGGGCATGAGTACCAGGAAGTGAGGGTCACTGGGGCCACTTTAGAGGCTGCCTGCCTGAATCTGCCCTTTGCCCACAAGGAGTCATGTCCCTCCCACGTGCAAAATGTACTTACCCTCTCCCAAGCTCCCCAAACATCTCATCCCTTTACAGCATCAGCCCGAAGTCCAGATTTGTCATCTAAATCAGGTCCAGATGGGAATAAGGTTTTGGGGGACACATCTGTATAATTTATGGCTGCATAACCAGTCACCCCTTGAAACACTCATCTCACAGGAGGGAGGAATCACTGGGTGCTCACCGGGTGTCTCAGCAGCTGCCTCCACAGCTGTCCAGGTTCAGGTCCTGACTCTTCCACGTACTAGCTGTATGCCCTTGGGCTGGTCATTTCCCTTCTGTGCCTCACTTTCTCATCTGTAAATGGGGCCAGTAATATAACTTATCTACTAGAGAGGAGTAATGATTAAATGACATAAATTCTCAAGTAATTGGCATAGTCCTTGGCACAGAGTAAGTGCTGAATACATGATAACCATTTATAATTGTTTGAATTATTTTTCTTAAGAAAAAACTTCAGACGCTTTCTGAGAATGTAGATCGAAAAGGATAAAGAGGGAGAGAAAATGATAGGTCTCAGATACAAGAGGCAGGAATCCAACATAAAACACTGTCGTGGTTCTTCGGGTCGTCCAAGAACATCAGAAACAATCATTAAAGTTTAAGAAACAAAAACTACTAAACGAAAAATATTTGTGCTTGCTGATTAAAGTATTCCATGCGATCCAAGCAGTGTTAGAATGTCAGGATGCGGGAGGGGTATGGAGGGCCATGTTGAGGTAAGGCCTCATGGGAGGTAACTGAACCCCATGGGAAATGACCGGCTCCACCCCCATTGTCAGTCACCGCCCATTAGAGATTGCAGACCCGTTCAGTTTAGGAAATTGCAAAGGGAACCTGTGACCACACTGTCTGCAGTTGTCTGCACAGCTCAGGGATTCAGACCCAGCATGAACCAGCTTTTGGCCCTCATGGGACACTCTTCTAGCTGGTGCTGTGACCAACATGAGAGCAGATCACTTCTCAGCCCCATCTCCCAGTCCGTACCAGGCTGGACTAGAGGATATCTGAGGGCCCTTTATGCCATAGATGTCTGATTCAGGATCAGGACTGTCCTTAACCATCTGTGCCCACAGCACTTGGCATGGCTGGGGTTCGGCAAATGCATTTGAGTTACACTTGTGTTGAAGTGGAGTCCCAGTTGTAAATGTGATGTGTCTGTCCTCCCTGCCCAACCTCCAGCCCTAACCTGTCTTCCTCTCATTCCCATATCAGGCCAAGTGCAGGAACATGGAGCATGCGCTGCGGGAGAAGGCCAAGGCCTTCTGGGCCATGCGGCGCTCCTATGAGGCCATCGCCAAGCACAATCAGGTGAGTGAACGATGGGGCTGGGTGGGGAGATTGGGTCCACTCAGGGCAGTTGGGGGAGGATTGAAGTTGCGTCAGCCCTGACTTTGTCTCACATAACCCACTGGGTAGAGGTGGACTCCCTTACCTCTCTGATGGTCCTGTGCAGCCACGTCGTGGATGCTGACCGTGGCTTCTCTGCCTCGTGGATGCTGACCGTGGCTTCTCTGCCTTGGCCCCTCTAAAGACCCAGGTGTGATCATGCCATCAGCCACAGGAGTGACTTAAAAAGCTACCAACACCATCTGCCCTGTGGCACATGCATTGTATCACCGCCACCTGTGCGTTCAGTGATGACCTGGGACTCATGTAATTTCTTGTTTTCTTTCAGTTCCCACATCCACTCCATCAGCCATCCTATTCCCCCATCTCTAAAGTACATTATTTCTGCCAAACTCTCTATGTTCTGGTCAAGGTCACCATCATCTCTCACTGGGCCTCCTGCCTGGGCCTCGTGCTTTCATTCTGTTGTATTCTGCTTTCCACGGACTGGGGTGATCGTTTAGTAAAACACACCAGCAGTGCCCCTCCTCTGCTTAAAACTGCCAGTGGCTTCCAGTCACCCTCGGTACCACCCAGATTCCTTACCATGGCCTCCGAGGCCATTGCCTGACCCTGCCTATCCTCAACCTCATTTACTTCTCTGCCTCATCTTCTTTCTGTCCCTTAAGCAAACTAAGTCTTCTCCCCAGAATGCGTGCCCAGCATCTTTGCCATTAAAATCTCAGATGTCCCCTTCAAGAAACTTTTCCTGATCACCCTCCTCTTTTACTCGATGGCATACTTCCCTGGTTTATTTCCTTGATGACACTTCATTACCTGTAATTACCTTTGGTTTTCTATTTGCTTTTTATCCCTTCCCATCAGAATATAATGAAAACAGGGCACACTATTGCCAATTAACTAGAGGAGTTCTTGGCACACAATAGGTGACCAATAAAAGTGTTTGTTGATTGAGTGAAGTGAGTAGGTGACCAATAACTGTTAATCAAATGAATGAATGGGCTCCCTCTGTGCCCACTCCGGTTGTTCTGCCTGGCACCCTCTCTTCCTCCAGGTCCCGTGTGGATTGGCAGCCTTGTTTCTGACTTTTGATCTTGGCTCTGGTCTTTGGCTTTCTGAGGTGGCTGCCTCTAGTAATTACCACTCTGTTAGACTCGTGTTAGCGACAGCTGAGCCATGCCTGGTCCGGTTTGCTGGGTGCTGTCCTCAGGAGCCTGTGGTCCCCTCCACTATGTGTCCAAAGGTGAGGATTAGGCCCAGGAAAGGGCCTCATTAACATCTGGCTGTGGAGTTTACCCTGAGCCACAGAGCTGGTGGAACAGAGTGGAAGAAAGGACTGTGTGACACACTGGGCGCCAGGGCAGTAACCGCAAAGCAGACCTATTTCCAAACCTAAGCCCAGTTCCCCAGCGGATCCCTCAACCCCCTCCAAGCTAATCCCCTCCTCTAAAAAGAGGGCAATTCCCTCTTACTAGGATTAAAAAAAAAATTCAGATAAAATAGTGCATATAAGTGCCCAACAGAAAGAAGTCGTTAACATTTCTGATGTCTAATAGACTGACAAACTGGTGGGAGAGAGTTTTCACTTTTTCAGTGGATTATTTTGTCATCCGATGTCAGAGCTATAAATACATGTTGAAATTCCAACTCCAAATAGCAATTACGAACCTGCTGTTGCTGGAGTTTGTTGAGTTGTTTTTCCAGTAGTCATCGTGGAGTCATGTAGCTTCATCATTGTTCTCTTACTTGGTTTCCTTTTGTGGCTAAAGCCATATGACTGGCTTGCCTTGTCCAGGACTGGGTTGGGGATACTTCGGGAGTATCTGTCTGTCCATGTGGCAGTACGGCCTGCCCACCCAGGGAGTGTAGGAGTCCTGAGCTTTTTGCTGAGGCTGAGGGTAATGAGGTCACGTGGGAAGCCCCTAGGATTCCAGCCTGATTAATACTTTGTCTGTTAAATTCAGTTTATCAAGTCGATGAGAAAAGTGAAAGTTCTGGTGTTTATTCCTTTACAGTGAGGCCGTCATTGCCCACGGTGAGTGGGCAGGAGTTGACCTTGCACTTGCTGGTTTTTCCTGCCATGCTCTATTCTTGATTTTTCTGTGTGATAAGAATTATCAAGGAGAGGGAAAGCGTCAAGATAAATAGCTAATGCATGCGGGGCTTAATACCTAGGTGATGGGTTGACAGGTGCAGCAGACCATCATGGCGCACATTTACCTATGTAGCAAACCTGCACATCCTGCACATGTATCCTGGAACTTAAATGTGAAAAAAAAAAAAAGAATCACCCTGTATTCTACTCTCTCCAATGCAGACATCAGTCTTTTCAGTCTGATGGGTTAGCCATGCTGTTTGTCCTCATTTGCATTTCTTTGATTATTGGTAAGTCTGTACACCTTTTCACAAGCATAACGGCCATTTATTTATTCTTCTGTGAATGCTAATTCACATTCTTTTTTTCCCTTGGAATATTTGTCTTTTCTCTCAGTGGATTTGTAAGAGTGCTTTGTACATTAAGAATAATAGCCATTTGTCATAAATGTTGCAAATATACTTCCTGTTTGTCATTTCTTTTTCAGTGGATCATTTTCAATTTTTTTGGCCATTTTCACTTTTTCAGTGAATCCTTTTGTTATATTTTCAGAGCTATAAACATGCAAACAGTCCCTGGCTTATGATTTTTTGACTTTACCATGGTGCACAGGCAATGTGCATTCAGTAGAAACTGTACTTTGAGTACCCATGCAACCATTCTGTTTTTCCCCTTCAGTACAGTATTCAATAAATTACATGAGACACTCAGTGCTTTGTTATGACATAGGCTTTGTGTTGGATGATTCTGCCCAACTGTAGGCTAATGTGAGTGTCCTGGGCACGTTTAAGGTAGGCTAGACTAGGCTGGATGCAGTGACTCACGCGTGTAATCCCAGCAGTTTGGGAGGCTGAGGCAGGCGGATCACGAGGTCAGGAGATCGAGACCATCCTGGCTAACATGGTGAAACCCCGTCTCTACTAAAAAGGTACAAAAAATTAGCCGGGCGTGGTGGCAGGCACCTGTAGTCCCAGCTTTGGGAGACTGAGGCAGGAGAATGGCGTGAACCCGGGAGGCGGAGCTTGCAGTGAGCCGAGATTGTGCCACTGCACTCCAGCCTGGGCGACAGAGCAAGACTCCGTCTCATAAATAAATAAATAAATAAATAAGGTAGGCTAGGCTAACCTATGATGTTTTTAGTAGTTTAGGTGTCTTCATTGCTTTGACTTAACCCTTTTTCAACTTACGATGGGCTTATTGGGATGTAACCCCATCATACGTTGAGGAACATCAATATTTAACTTTCAGTCCAAAGATGAGATTACTAACCTGCCATTGCCACAGCATACATTTCGAATGGTTTTTCTAACAGTTTTCATGGAATTATATTTTTGTCTTTAACTTTATGAATAGTCTCTTGCCATACACACCTCTTATTCTTCTATGTATTCAGTTATCTCATTCTTTCTTCGAGGCTTCTCAGTTTTGTACTGCGCCAAGGAATGTCTTATTAAAGCTTTCTTATTCCAAGCTTTATTTGCTTTTTCTTTAATTACATTTATGGTTTTATCTTCCCTATGAAAAAACTTTTTGTGAGGACAGGCACGATGGCTTATGTCTGTAATCCCAGCACTTTGGGAGGCCGAGGCAGGTGGATCACCTTAAGTCAGGAGTTTGAGACCAGTCTGACCAACATGGCGAAACCCCATCTCTGCTAAAAAATACAAAACTTAGCCGGGCGTGGTGGCACACACCTGTAGTCCCAGCTACTTGGGAGGCTGAGGCAGGGTGAATCACTTGAACCCAGGAGGCAGAGGTTGCAGTGAGCCAAGATCACGCCACTGCACTCCAGCCTAGGCGAAAGAGTGAGACTCAGTCTCAAAAAAAAAAAGAAAAAAAAAAACAACAAACCTTTTGTGGTTATGATTAGGAGTGTGTATATTATTTTAATGATTATTTTAAAATAAATACTTCCTACTGCTCCTTTGGTAAAGCCTCTGGATCAGACAAATTTTAAGTCCTAAGATTGGAAGGCAAATACTTTAAAAGAAATCATTGCTATTTGCAGCCGTTCATTTCTATGATTCAGGACTTCCTTGTTACGGTGCAACCTAAAGAAGGAACTGAACATTATATGTAAATGAGATTATAGTACTACAGTTGCAATCTATAAGCTGTGATTTTATTTTTTAAAAATCCCTATCAAAACAACCTATTATTAGGTTGTTGGACTTTCTCATTTGAAATCTGAACTTAGAAATGTGTGCTTATAAACTATTATGTTGATATTTTATCTATAGGAGTTCTATACATGATTTCTTTGAACATAAAGTTCCTTTGCTAAAAATGGGAAAGTTGCTGGGCTATGGAGGTTCCCTCTGTATCTGACCCCTGACTCCCTCCCGCTGTCTGCCGTAGGTGGAGGCTGCATGGCTGGAAGGCCGGATCCGGCAGGAGTTTGATAAGCTTCGCGAGTTCTTGAGAGTGGAGGAGCAGGCCATTCTGGATGCCATGGCCGAGGAGACAAGGCAGAAGCAGCTTCTGGCCGATGAGAAGATGAAGCAGCTCACAGAGGAGACAGAGGTGCTGGCACATGAGATTGAGCGGCTGCAGATGGAGATGAAGGAGGACGACGTTTCTTTTCTCATGGTAAGGAGCTCAGCGTCTGGATTCAGTGACAGGGCCAGATGTTCCAGCACCTGCTGGGAGCCACAGCCCACCAGCCCTGGCCAACCTCATCTTCTTGGAGCTTCCCGGGTACTGGCCTGGAAGAGCTCACAAGCGACCTGCTCTGCTTGTGTCATAAAGCTAAAAAGACTTACCAGGGCGGAGTTCCTTGAAACCCTCTTATTTCTTCCTCTCTCTTCTTTTTTTTTAGAGACAGGGTCTTGCTCTGTCACCCAGGCTGGGGTACAGTGGGTGATTATAGCTCAGTGTAACCTCAAACTCATGAGCTCAAGTGATCCTCTCTCCTTAGCCTCCTGAGTAGCTGGGACTACAGGCACGAGCCACCATGCCCAGCTAAGGTTTTCATTTTTTAATAGTCAGGTGGGGGTGAGGAGGGTCTCACTATGTTGCCCAAGCTGGTCTTGAATCCCTGGCCTCAAGTGATGCTTTCACCTTGGCCTCCCAGGTAGTTGGACTGCTGGCGCTCCACTGTGCCCAGCTCCTGTCTCTTCTTTCTTCCTTTCTCTTGGCCTCTCTCTTACTCTCATTTTTTTCCTGTCTCTACTTTTTGTTTTGTTTTGTTTTTTTGTTTTTGATACGGAGTCTCGCTTTGTCGCCCAGGCTGGAGTGCAGTGGTGCCATCTCGGCTCAATGCAAACTCCACCTCCCGGGTTCACGCCATTCTCCTGCCTCAGCCTCCGAGTAGCTGGGATTACAGGCGCGCACCACCACACCTGGCTAATTTTTTTTTTTTTTGTATTTTTAGTAGAGACGGGGTTTCACCATGTTAGCCAGGATGGTCTCGATCTCCTGACCTCGTGATCCACCCGCCTCGGCCTCCCAAGGTGCTGGGATTACAGGTGTGAGCCACCGCACCTGGCCTGTCTCTACCTTTTAATAAAATGAATTCTTTTTAAAATCATTCAATTATTTAAATTTTTTATTTAAATATGATGCCTTGGCTTTCTGTCTTCTTAAGAAAAAGATGATTCTGTTCTCTCTTTTAAAGAACAGTATTATTCATTTTTTCTTCCTTTTATTGATTTATTTCCTCCCCATGAGCCATCGGTCGTTACAAATTTCCTGCAGGGAAATTTCTGGGCTTGAAAGCTGGTCTGTAAACTGGCCAGGGTGGTGAGGTGTCTCCTGTCCCTGGAAAACAGCTGATTGCTGTGGAAGGGGTGTTGCTGTAGAGCGGAGTGGGAGGTGACAGGGACGGTTATATGTTCAGGCAGTGTCACCTCCTGGGTGGGACCTTTAGGAGTTCTCCACCTCACTCAGAGTCTCGAACCATGAAGCCTTCTGTCTCTAAAATGTCCCTGATTATGAAATCATTCTGTGTTCAGAGCTGTCTCTAAAAAGAAAAATGAAGGAGAAAAAAAAAAAGATAGAAAAACCATTTCGTGGGATCTAAAAGCTGTGTGTCTCGTGGATTCCGTTTAGGGAACTGGGAGTATTGTCTTGCCCAGTACCCAGAGTGCTTTCAGGGATGATTTTGGTTTGTGACTCCTTTTTATTTTTTATTAGCAACTTTATCGAGATATAATTTACATGCTAAACAATTCACCCATTTAAAATGTACCACTCAGTGATTTTTAGTATATACAGAGTTGTGCAACCATCACGACAATTTTAGAACATTTCATGCCTCCAAAAGCAGCCCTGCTTTAGCTGTCACTCCCCAGTTCCTCCTCCCACATAAAAACTGTTACCTAAATTGAGTCTAACAGAGTGGTAATTACTAGAATTAGCAGCCCCTGGCAACCACTAATCTACATACTATCTATACAGATTTACCTATTCTAGACATTTCAAATGCATGGAATTATATAACATGTAACCTTTTGTGACTGCCTTCTTTCAGTCGGCATATTTTGAAACATCATTCGTGTTGTAACATCTATCAGTACTTCATTCCTTTTTATGGCCAAATAATATTCCATGGCATAGATATACAATCATGCATTGCTTGGTGATGGGGATATGTTCTGAGAAATGTGTTATTAGGCAATTTTTTCATTATGCAAATGTCATGGAGTGTGCTTACATAAACCTACATGGTGTAGCCTACTACACACCTAGGTTATATGGAATAGCCTTTTGCTCCTAGGTTACAAACCTGTGTAGCATGTTGCTGTACTGAATACTATAGGCAACTAGAGCCCACTGTTAAGTATTTGTGTATCTAAACATAGAAAAAGTACAGTAAAAATATGGTGATGTAATCTCATGGGACCAGAGTCATATATGTGGTTCCTTGTTGACTGAAACATCATTACATCACACATGGCTATATTACATTTTATTTATTGATTTATCAATTGGTGGTTGCTGTGGTTTAAATATGTTCCCCAAAATTTAGGTGTTGCAAACTTAATCCCCAATGCAACAGTGTTGGGAGGTGGAGCCTAATAAGAAGTGATTGGGTCCTGAGAGCCCTCATGAATGGGTTAATGTTGTTACTGGCAGAGTGGGTTAGTTATTGAGAGAGTGGACTTGTTATAAAAGTGAATTTGGGCCCCTCTTTCTCTCTTGCTCTTGGTCTTATGTGTGGTCTCTTGCCCTTCTTCCTTCTGCCATGGGATGACACAGCGTGAGGGCTCTCATCAGAAGCCAGTGCCTTGCTCTTGGACTTCCCAGCTTCAGAACCACGAGTGAAATAAACTATTGTTTATAAATTACCAGTCTGTGGTATTTTGTTACAGCAGCACAAAATGAACTAAGACAGTGGTCATTTGGGTTGTTTCTATTTTGGCTATTATGAATAATATGGCTGTAAACATTCAGGTAGCAACTTTTATGTGGACATATTTTCATTTTTCTTGGAAATACATCTGGGAGTAGATTTGCGGATCATATGGTAACTCTAGGTTTAACTATTGGAAGAACTGCCAGGCCATTATCCAGAGCAGCTGTATCATTTTATATTCCCGTCAGTATAATATGTGGATTCCAGTTTCTCCACATTTTTGCCAAAATTTGTTTTTTAAAAATTATAGCTATCCTTGTAGGTGTGAAGTGGTATCTCCTTGTGTATTGCATGTCATCATTTCCCTGATGGCTAATGACCTGGAACATCTTTTCATGGGCTTTTTGATCATTAGTAGATCTTCCTTGAACAAATGTCTATTCAGATCCTTTGCCCATTTTTAACGTGGGTTGTCTTTTTATTGTTGAGTTGTAAGAGTTCTTTATATAGTCTAGATACAAGTTCTTTATCGGTTTTAACTCTACAGGTAGGTCTTTGATGCATTTTGAGTTATTTTTTGTATATGGTATAGTAAGGGTTAGTCCAACTTCTTTTTTTTCTTTTTTTTTTTTTTTTTCATGTCAACATACAGTTTTCCCAGTACCGTTTGTTGGAAAGACTATTTATTCCTCCATTAAATCATCTTGGCACTCTTGTAAATAATTGATTGATGGTAAATAGGAGGGTTTATTTCTGGACTTTCAATTCTATTCCATTGATCCCAACGCCTGTTTTTATATTAGCACCACATATCTTGATTACTGTTGATTTGCAGTAAGTCTTGAAATTGGGGATTATGAGTCTTCCAATGTTCTTCTTTTTCAAGATGGTTTTGGCTGTTCTGGGTTCCTCGAAATTTTGTGTGAATTTTAGGATCAGTTTTTTAGTTTCTGCAAAGAAGCCAGCCAGGATAACGGATTGCACTGAGTCAGTAGATCAACTTAAGGAGTGTCTTAGTATGTTTTCTGTTGCTATGACAAAATATCACAGACTGGGTAAATTATAAAACAGTCCAAGTTTATTCAGCTCATTGTTCTGGGTGAGGCCAGGAAGTCCAGGAACATGATGGCGCTGGCATTTGGTGTGGGCCATCTCATGGCAGAAGGAGGAAATGAGTGCAAGACACAGTAGTTGCTCATTGTTTTATAGCAACGCAGTCTCATGATAACTAAACCGCTTCACAGTAATGACATTAATCCATTTGTGAGGGCTCTGCCCTCATGACCCAGTCACCTCTTTTTAGGCCCTACCTCCCAACACAGTTGCATTGGGGATTCAGTGTTCAACACATGAACTTTCGGATAATATGTCCAAATCATAGCAGAGATGTTATTGTTAACATCTTGACAATATTAAGACTTACGATCCATGGAATGCATGACTCCTTTTGAGGTCAGAAACGTATATATTTCTTCTATATCTGTGTCTCTGTGTTGTTATTTTTTTATTTTCATTTTTTTCAGAAACACAAGAGCCGAAAACGCCGGTAAGTTGCCAAAGCAGGTGGAGGGGAGGGCAGGAGTGGGCAGAAATACCAGGGGTGCAAACTCCAGTGGCCCCGGGGCAAGCAGGTAACAGCCAGCTGGGTGCACCAGCCCACATGAGCTACTGTGCCCTGGTTTTGAGAGGGAGTGGTGGACAATGGCCAGGTGGAGAGAGCCCTCTCACAGCATCCAGTTCCAGCTGGCTCTGGGGCAGTGTTGTTCTCCTGAGTGTGGAGGGTCCCCGCCTGCCGTGCAGGGAAGGAGAACACCGTCCTACACGTGGCTCGCGTTTCTCGGGGCCAGTCAATGTCAGGCTTTTTTCTTGGTCAGCCCCCTCCCTCTGAGAGCCTTAGGCCACAGTGGTTTGTGTTGATGGTTGTTGGGTTCACAGGGATGAATGAGAAAGAGCTGTGTCCCAGTCAGAGCTGTCCAAAGATGGAAGAGAGTGCTTTTGGGGGGAGTGAGTTCCCTGTGCTCACTTCCCACTAGCAGTGTGCAAGCAAAGGCCGGAGGACACCTTGGGGCCGTTGGACTAGAGCATCCTTAGGGTCCCTTCCAACTCAGACATCCCGTGAGCCGGATGTGTAAGTGTGATTTCTGCCTGCAAGGAAGGCAGCCATGTTAGAGAACCTCCTGTTTGTATTTCTCTTAGGTGGGGCAGGGTGAGCCCTCGGACTGAATTCTGAAGGGCGGTAGCAGCCCTGTTGGCCTTGGCCCATCTCCCATCATAGTCCAGTCTAGTCTTGTCTTGGGGAAGGTGGCCAGGAAACTTGGGCCTGAGGGAAGGGAATGAGTCCTGTTGCTGGTTTCCAGTTGGCCCAGTTTGGCCCAGGATGCATGACTCTGGCCCTGCCTGCCATACCCCATTGTACTTTTCCAGACTCTTCTGCACCATGGAGCCAGAGCCAGTCCAGCCTGGCATGCTTATTGATGTCTGCAAGTACCTGGGCTCCCTGCAGTACCGCGTCTGGAAGAAGATGCTTGCATCTGTGGAATCTGGTGAGCGGGGGTGCAGGCAGGTGTCCCAAGCATGGGTGGAAGCCCTTTATGTTAGCAAAGAGGCACCAGGGCTGGTCTCTGCCCACCTCCCACCTCCTCAGAGGTCCCCTCCTCTCTCAGGTGATTCCTCTGCCAGGCCCTTGCAGGCGAGTTCCCGTACCCTGGTCTTCTCTACTCTGCCCAACACCTCCAACCCTCCTCGTAGAATGCCTTCTCTCAGGACCTTGACACTTGGTCCCCTCTTCAGAGAGGGAAACTGGCTTCCTTGTCTATTCAGAACTGTATTTTGTATGATAAAAGACCTCCTCCGTCCGGGATCGCCTCTCCCAAGGCCACTGCAGCCCACACGAGCCACAGTGTCCTGGTTTTACAGGGAGGAATATCACTGACTCAGGGAATGGGCCATGCTGTCCTAACATCCCTGGGTCGTGTGAATGTTGAGTCTCTGCCTGTATGAGTTCCTGTGGCTGCCATAACAAAGGACCCAAACTGGAGACTGAGAGAAGTCGATTCTCTCACAGTTCTTCTGGAGGCTAGAAATCCAAAATCCAGATGTTGGCAGGGCCAGGCCCCTCTGAAGTCTGAAGAGGGGAGTCTTCATTGCCTCTTCCATCTCCTGCTGCCTCCTGGCCATTCTTGGCCTTACTGGCTCCCCCTCAGCACTTTGATCCCCACCTCTGCCATCACACAGCATTTCCCCCTGTGTGTCTGTGTCTGTCTCCTCTTTATTATAAGGACACAGGTCATACTGGATTGGGGACCCTCCTCCAGTCTTACTAACACATGTACAACCACCCCACTCCCAAAGAAGGTCACACTCTGAGGTACAGGGGTTGGGACTGCCACATATCTTCTGGGGGATACAGCCCAACCCCTGCCACTGCTCCAGCCCTGGGCCGCTCCTTGCATGGACTTGGGGCCAGGTGGGACACAGTGGTTGGTTTGTGGGGCTAGAGATATCCACGTGTGGCCTAAGGGACCTCAGGTTTGCTGATTCCCCATTTCTGCCCCTGCTCGCAGTACCCTTCAGCTTTGACCCCAACACCGCAGCCGGCTGGCTCTCCGTGTCTGACGACCTCACCAGCGTCACCAACCACGGCTACCGCGTGCAGGTGGAGAACCCGGAACGCTTCTCCTCGGCGCCCTGCCTGCTGGGCTCCCGTGTCTTCTCTCAGGGCTCGCACGCCTGGGAGGTGGCCCTCGGGGGGCTGCAGAGCTGGCGGGTGGGCGTGGTGCGTGTGCGCCAGGACTCGGGCGCTGAGGGCCACTCGCACAGCTGCTACCACGACACACGCTCGGGCTTCTGGTACGTCTGCCGGACGCAGGGCGTGGAGGGAGACCACTGCGTGACCTCGGACCCAGCCACGTCGCCCCTGGTCCTGGCCATCCCACGCCGCCTGCGTGTGGAGCTGGAGTGCGAGGAGGG